ATGCACTGAAATCCCCTCTAGTCCTCTCCAATTTTTCAAGTACTACTCATCCTTCAGGATTAGAATGTGCCCCTGACAATTCGTGTCCACTTTGATCTTTTTTGTTTTTTTATTTAGTTTATTCTGAAAGGATTTATCATAAGTACAGCACAGTGGATAGGACTGTGTGGATCTGCATCCTACCTCTGTCATTTAATAACTATATAATTCTGGATAACATACACAAATGCATTCACTCTGAATACCTGTAAAAAGTGGATGGTAATAATGTGTTCCTTACAAAGTTTGTTGAAATAAATAAGATATCGTAAAGAAAATGCTCATAATGATTAGCTGACATGCAGTAAACACACAATAAATGGCAACTATTTTCATTCACATTCACTTATTTCAGCATCTAATCATATACTTCTTTAAAATATAGCAATTCAAATATTAAGAGTTTATCCCAATTCCCAGGCTAAATGAAACTTAACTTTAGAGAGAAAAAATCATATTTTTCATTGTTTGTTTTTTTTTATTGGAGCACCTAATTCTCCAATGCTGAGAACTGATATTCCAGAAAACCTGTTAATTTATGGTTAAATTAAATACTGAAAGCTAGGATACAGAGGGAAGATACTAAAGAAAGAGGAAGAATTCCACAGAAAATTTTCATTCATGTATACAAAATTGAAATTAGCTGCTTGGGGAATACCTACTTTTCAATTTTATTCTAGACTTAGAATGAAGTGCTCTGAACACTAGAGCTGCCAGTCAAACATGCAGAGAGACAAAGATTATGGCTAGAAGATAAAACAGAGAATCAAATCCTCACTGAAAGAGTCTGACTGCAAGAAGACTTATGTGTGGCTTCTTTGTTTTTTATTTTTTCTCTATGTATACACTTTATTTTTTTAAATGCATTTATTTGTTTTATATTGAGGTCTGTACAATTAAATGCACAAATCTTAGTGTATAGCTTTATGAATTTTCGATATGTGTACACACTATGAGTGGCTTCTGAGATGGAAAAATATTACAACTAGGAATGTTGATTTCATTCCATAGGGAAGGTTGCAAGTGAGAAAGAAGTCAGTCTCAATAGGTTATTGGTACCTGAGATTGAGGTGGAACCCAGAGGGCATCGGTAGAAGGTAATTTAAAAGGGGAAGTGAACCTTTTGTGTCTTTGATGAGAAGTGTCTTTATTGAATAAGATGGGAAGAACATACTCTTTTTGTGAAAAATGGGGCCCATGGGAGAAAGTTGCTAGGGAAATTATTATCATATATGGTAATAATACCCAGAAGACTGAATATCCAGTTTAGGCCTGTATATGTCTTTGCCTTGAAATCCCCAGCATTTCCCGTTATAAAATCCAACTACTATTTTTTTAATGGACTATTTTTCTAGTACTTTACTGATTTTTTTTTTTAAATTAAAGGTCTAAATGTCTTCAGAAAAACTCCAATGATTTTTCACTAACTTTCACAGGAAAAACTTGGTGATAGTTAACCTCTTCGTATAGCATAAGAGTACTTTTTTTAAAAGAAATATTCTGAAAAAGTGTTTTTCTTAAAATCAAATTTCAAACTGTACAATTTTGGTTTTATGTTGGAATTTCAATGTCTTGGAAAAGTTGAGTAACATTTCTTAAAATTTAACTTAAAAGTGATGTTGTCAGAAGTCTCCAGAGAGAGACTTTTTTTTTCTCTTTACAAAAGAATAAGAAATGTCCAAAAGTATTCAAGGAAAATATGACAAACATGCTATTAATATTCTCCATTCTTTAATTGGCTTTAACCTGATGAAGATGTTAAGGCAAATTTTGGTAATATCACATCATGGCTTGAAAAAAGGACAAAGAAGAAGTGACATGCGATGGTTAAACTCTTGGTCCTGGTCACACCTGCTCGCTCTGCCCTCAGCCACCACACTGGATTTGGAGCGGGGGTGGAGGGTAATGGTTAAAGTAGGAGGAACCAGGAGTCAATGGCTTGTGCTCAAACCTGGTTCTATGACTGTCTAGCTATGTATGTTTAAGCAAGTTACTTAGCCTCTCGACATCGTAAGGAATATTAGTTTAATTTTAGGTTGCATTTCCTCAGAAGTTTTTGTTGAAAGAATTAAAGTTAATTTTTGTTGTGTTTCTGGAGCAAAGTAAGTGCTAGATAACTTTTAGATACAAGAAAAACAGAAAAAAAGGAAGTGAAAGAGATTGAAAAGGAAGGAATGTGAGCAAAACAGTCTAATTATAGGCTCTAGTATACATAAAAGGAAATTTTTGGAATGTGTGCCCTCTGAGGAAGTGAAATACACGAAACAGAAACACCATGGGAATCAGAGACCTTATTATCTCCCTGCTCCAATTTTACTTCCCTCTTTTTGCATCCCCTACCCAGGACTAATACCACAGTGCTTTGAAATCAACTACATTGCTTGTAAATTGATCATATTTAAGAGTCATCTTCCTCCGGAGAGAATAATTGTACAGCTAGTTTTTTTTTACAGGGGGATGGAAATTCGCATACATTTACCCTCTAGTTTGAGTGGCCTAACAGGTAAAAACTCCTATAGATTATTTGGAATGGCTTCAGGTCAATATACCCTGGATTGTTTTGTGAGCATTTAATAACATGGATCAGAGGGATAACCGTTAGTATTAATCACAATAAATTGAACAATAGCCCCTAGAAAGACGCCTAGTGGATTTCCTCTCTGCTTCTGAGTATTTATCCACCACAGGCGTTGACTTAGTTAGTCATTTGTGATTTTGTCTGTGCAAAAGTTGATAATGGAAAAGTAGGTTGTTTGTTGGCTTCCATCAAGATTTGGGGGAAAACAAACTATAAACAACCACAGTTAGAAATCAGATGCTTGACAAAGCTAGGAGACTAAGAACTTTCTGACAAATAACTCTTCACAAAACTTTTTTAAAAACTCTTCACAAAACTTACTAAGAAAAAGAAAGTAATCCACACACCCACACAAGCACAACCCCTCCACCTAGCAACATCCTCCACAGAGTACTACATTTGTTACAAATGATGAATCTACATGGACACGTCATAATCACCCAAAGTCCAAAGTTTCTCTTCGGGTTTACTCTTGGTGTTGTACATTCTATGGGTTTGGACTAATGTGTTCTGACTCACTTCCATCATTATGATATCATACCAAGTATTTCACTGTCCTACACATACTCTGTGTTCTGCCTATTCATCTGTCCCTCCCCTCCCAATCCCTGATCATTTTACTGTCTCCATAGTTTTGCCTTTTCCAGAATGTCAAATCTTCAGAATCATATAGTATGTGGCCTTTTCAGACTGGCTTCTTTTGCTTAGTAATATGCATTTAAGGTTACTCTATGTCTTTTCATGCCTTGGTAGCTCATTTCTTTTTAACCCTGAATAAGTTTCCATTGTGTGGATGTACCAGTTTATTTATCCCATCACCTACTAACATCTTGGTTGCTTCCAAGTTTTGGCAATTATGTGAAAAGTTGCTACAAACATTCATGTGCAGGTTTTTGTGTGCACATAAGCTTTCAACTCTTTTGGGTAAATACCAAGGAATACAACTGATGGATTGTATACTAAGGGTATGGTTGTAAGAAACAGCCAAAGTACCTTCCAAAGTGTCTGTACCATTCTGCATTCTTACCAGCACTGAATTAGAGTTCCAGGTGTTCCACATCTTCAAGAGCATTTGGTATTGCCAGTGCTGTGGATTTTGGCCATTCTAACAGGCAGTGGTATCTCAGACAACTTTTTAATCAATTAACTGAAATACCAGAATAGTATACCCCTTGTAATACTGTTCTTTTTTTCCCTCCTAAAGGATTCTCATTTTTCAGCACATTCAGCATAAACTGATTTGTAGATGGTAATACCCCTGTTAGTGTACTAATGTAAATGTAGTCTATAAGGGGGAAATATGTCCTGGCTGCTCCTGGCTAAAGTGTTTAGTTTAGAGGAGTCCTTGCTGGAGAGGCAGCTCCAGGGACCCAGAAGCCAACCTGCCCAGACCTCCACTGCAGCTGCTGGGATCAAACTGACTTAATTTGCCTCGCGACTCATCATGGAAAGGTTGCCTAATTCTGCTTACCCAGATGACATGGTTGCTTCAAAATAAGAAAATTGTCTCAGGAAAGTAATACCCAGCTCTAGGCCCAAAACAGAAGTAGAGGACATAGCTTTTGCCTCTTGCAAAGTCATCATCTAATCAGAGAGAGAATCATTCCTTAACTGAAATACCTTGAAAATGCTTTCACTCTTGTGAGAGAAAGATACAGAACATTGCATATGTGCTCATCACTGGAGTATTTTTATTTAAGGCAATAAAATATGACTCACATTTCTTTACAGTAAATAGAGAAAATATTTATCTATTTATGCTAACAGTGGAAATTTCTTTTAATATTAATAAAAACGGTATATTCATGGTAAACGTTTACTTTATACCAAGTGCTGCTATTCTGTATTTGATGTCTATAGCTCTTATTGTATGCAAAATTGTGAAGGAGATAATGTAGCTCTTAGATATCTCTATCTCTGATTTTCTGGGACCCCACCCCATCCACCCTCTTAATATTTGTCACCAAACATTATTTATAACAAACAACTATGTCTGTGTCTGAGGCTGATAAATACTTATTATTATATCCTCTTCCCTTGTCCTGGTTTGTTGCCATCTCCTCCCTTCAAAGTTTATCTGTTCTCTGCCTCAAGTTCTTACAGTCCTGCCTATTAACTGGCTAGCTCTCCAATTTGGTAGATTTATTTGATCAAAGGCTGTGTTAATACATAATCCAATAGAAGAAACATCCATATATTTTAAGGGTCCTTGATGCCTTTAAAGAGTGATGTGCATAAAGACAGTAATGATGGCTATAGGTACAGTGACTTCAGTTCCTGGATCCTCTGGGACTCTCCCTCAATCCACGTATGTGGTGCCAACTTAATTACATTTGATTTACTTGAGTTTTTAACTGTTTGATTAGACAAGCAGAAATCTTACCTCAACAGTAACATCTCCAGCTTTTCCTTGGTGAGGAATTTCAAATGCCTCAATTTGTTGCTTTGTGAGTCCTACTAACTTCTCAGCTAGTTCCCTCCAGCCTTTCCCAAGTTTGACAGCTGAAGTCAGAAGAGCAGCTTCTTGGATGAGATGTGCTACTAACCCTTGGCAATCCATCTTCAACAGAGCCTGCAGCAACAATTACATGTCATAATCAAAAGCAACTGACTTGGGCTTTTTCCCTTACGTTAATCTTTTCATTACATATTCTGGAAACTGGTGTCTTCTTTTTACTACATGTATATTTGAGTTTTCTAAAATTCAAAAAGTTGATTTACTTTTAAGCAAATCCAGTTAGCAAAGTACAGCAAACATAACTAGACCAAAATTAGGGGAGATTTAATAGTAACTCAGTGACTAATTCTAAGGCCTTGGGTGAACCACTCAACTAATGTATTTCTAAATATCCTTAATTGCAAAAGGAGGTAGTTGAGCTGGACACTGCCAAAGATACCCCGAGGTTCTAGCAGTCTGTAATTTATCAACCCAGGGATGATTACTCACTCTAGAAAAAAATATTCCTTTCCTTACCAGAGAATTGGCTACAAGATTTTTCTAAGCACACTGGGACTAGTAAACATTTTTCTGTTTTTCATCAAAATGTGATTTAAAACTTCCCAGAATCATAACTACTTCATAAAAATAAGACACTCCAACAAAACTACTGATGCTTATGACCAAAAAACTAACTCTCTCCCTTCACCACCAGTGTAATTGTGCTAAAGAGAAACCACAAATTATTGGAGATAAAACACTTAGCCTTCAACAGTGCAAAATGGAAAACTATCAGACCCTTTCTTCCTTAATTAGGCATCTGAGCTTTGTCAATCATTTCAAACAAGTCTGCAAGTTTCTCTTTTGCCTTGAATGTATTCTCAAAGTATGAGATTAGACCTATGTATATATCTATTTTCTGTTCAAATGAACATGTTTGGTAGTCCCTCATCATTGAATGGCACTTAAGACTTTCATCTATCACTATGAAGCAACAGGTCAGAATGGATGACAAGGCGACTTCGGAAGTCCACAGGAGTCCGTCCTATGGAGGCATTAGGAGGACAACCCCCCAGCCTATATTGACCCAACATTTATGGTGAAGAGACCTTGGGAAGAAGCAAAATATGCATTGAATGATTTTTTAAATGGATACAGTGGTACTACCACCCTCTCTGACTACCTGTAATCATTATGAAAGTTCAGTCAGTGTTACAGTGCTTGAGAGAGTATCAGGTGTCAAGTATATAAGGCAGCCAGTCTCAATGTCAAAAGATAACTAAGGAGTTTGGAACCCACAATCTTTATCAGCTCCCTCCCTGCTACCCTAAACTAATACACAAGAAAAAGCATACATACAGGGCAAAGAAAGCTTCAAGAGATGGCCCCTACCCACCATGCTCCATCATCTGCCAGTCACATAATCAGGCCCAAGAGCCCCTTCCCTACAGAAATTCTGAAACCTCCACTGAGGTGGAGTATGAGTTTTTAGGAACTACTCTTGAATGACCTCCCCACCATCACTGTCTAGTTAGTCATGAAAGCCACTCAATTAATTATCCTGCACCAACACAATGCAGGTATGCTCAGGCTTAAACTTTCTGACCATTTGGCCAATATAACCTCTTTTTTGTCACTAAAAGAAACAAGAGAGCAGTTTTCAGTTCAAACTTTCATGGGTTCATGATGAACATGAGCTGATGCAGAGGTAATGAGAGGTAATAATAAGCTATTGCAAAATGTGTGTGCAGCTTTGACCTGGTAGATCAGCCAATGACTCTAAATGTCTCAGGTTAGTGAGAACGCACCAAACACACTGCCATATAATTATCCACTTAACAACTGCGCAGTGGGGCTTTTAAAGTCTAAACCTTCTCAGTGTCCCTGTAGAATCATACAAATAGTTGAAAGAGAGGAGGTGTTTTATATATACTTTTTCTTTACTATATAAATTACTGTTAACGCCATAAAATAAATTCCTTTTTAAAAATTTGTCTTTTCCTTTTTCATCTTGATTAAAACCTTGCTCCTCTATGTGAACCTGCCTATAAATCTCACTCATTTCTTGTAGGGCACCAGCCTTGCACAGTTACATGGTATTCACTACACACACAAGCACACATATTATGCACTTACACAACATACACACACACATGTTCATAACTTTTAGTTTCAGGAAGACACAGTGGTTTTAAGTGTGGCTTTGGGACCAAAAAGGTCTCAAGTACCATCTCAGATACTAACAAACTGTGGGCCCTTGGGCAAGCTGTCCAACCTCATAAGATTCAGTTTCCTCCAGCTGTGAGATGACGATACTAACTGTACTTGCCCCATAGAGTTATTATACGCTACATGAGATAGTGTGTACAGAGTGCTCGGCACAGTGCCAAGCACACAGAGATCTTAAGAGGGTTATTTGCTATCATTATTTCTATTCATACATTCACATTTTGTTCACTTTTAGAAATATGCTCTTGATTTTTTTTTAAAATAATATACTGAGTTTTTATTTTAAAAGCAAAACCAGTTCTTCATCTACTTTACAACTCTCCACTGAGCTTATACTAGAGTGAATGCCATGTGGAAAAAAAATGATCTTCAGTATCTTTTTAAAAAATGAAGATTGAGAAAAGGATTAGCCGTGTCATTTTTTTTTTGGTTGTGATACATTGCTTACAGAAGAAGAATATTAACTTGCTAAAGTAAAAGACATTGGTGATATATTTTTTTAAACACACTAAAAAGTGGACCTACAGCAATGTCCAAGTTAATTAGTTTGTTTCAGTTTGCCTTTATTTACTATCATCTTATTAGAGCCTCTCTGATATTTTAAGAGCTATTCAACCATTTGAGAGAGAAAGAGAAGAGATCTCTTAACTGTTATGCTGTAACACAAACAGAATCTTTAATATTCCTTTAAAAGATTATCTTCAGGTGCCTAGTTTCTGGGAAAATCACAGTGAATCTCAAATCTAAGAAATCAGTTGTATAATCTTGTAGGAAAAGTTCCATGTTTTCTGTAAGGTGACTTCAATTTATTTGAGACTGCTGAGAGTTTCATAAATATTGCCAAGATAATAAAAATTTATGTATGATAAATAAACCACTGTGATCAAGCAATACTCACCATGATAAGTTCATAAAGAAACTTCCTGGTATTGTTACCAGCGTGGCAATCTTCCTTTAACTTCTTTACAACATAAGAAACTTTTTCTGATTCTTTGTCTGCTTGTATTTGACCAAAATCTTCCAGTGCCAGATGTGAGTAACCAAGGATGTCAGCTAAAACTTTCCAATCATAAACTTTTTCTGACACCAAGGTCAATACAACTGAATAGATGTAAGTCAGTTTTTTAAAGGGCAGGGCAATTTGTTCAAGAAGATTCCTGGTTGTAAAGACACTATCTGTCATAGACATTACTTGTTCCTTTCCAATCAACTTGACATTTTTGCAATGCACAAGTCCAATTTTACCTCTCAGGATTCCCACATACCATTCTTTCACTTTGGACTGTCCAATGGCTTTTATCTTGCCCTCTCCTAGAAGAGCTACTGCATCACCTTTTAAATATTCAAGTAAGTAGTCAATCTTGTTTTGTCTTAGCACTGTCTTCAAGGTAACCCCATAGTTGGTAAAGTTCAATTTTTTGTCCTGAAATGTGGGATTTTTAACACACAAAGTTGGTAATAAAGGAGCAGCCTTGATTTCCTTCTCCTGCAAATCACCTGGCATATCTGAAAGTCTTTTTAGTTTTGGGGCTGGACTGGGTGTAGTAACAAAGAACTGTGTAACTGGTCTACCTTTGGGAGGCTCCACCTGAACACGGAAAACAAATAAGTGCATTTGTCTGGAGTCAATTAAGGAAAATAAAATTTGCTGATGAACTGCTTCACCTGCTTGCAACTTCTTTTGTTTAATTTCATTCCTTTCTCCTTCTGCCTTTACTTCAAAATCAGGATCACATGAAAAAACAGAAATACTTAAATCTTGCGGCTTATCAAGTAAAAACGAATGCTTCTCCCAGAGCTGAAACACAACTGGAGATGTTGTTTTCCCACCCTTCTTAATATCAGAGATTGTTAGCCTTCCTGGCATAAAACTATGTCCACAAACTGTGAAAACAACAGTGAAACTAGGATGGATATATTTGGGCCCATAAATTCCAATTGAAGTGGTTTTGTGGATACAATCCCAGATGGTGGCAGCCGGTGGCTGAGTAGCCTTAGCTTGTGCAGCGGCCACTAGATACATCACCTTACTCAAGTCTATTAGCTTGACTTGAATGGTGTCTTCATAAATGTAGCAGTTGTTTAACACTTTGAAAGGGCCTTCTTTACTCAGGCTGTGTAAACACACCACTTCAGTCATGACTTGGCTGAAAGGATCCTTTCTCACTTCAGCCCCGATTTTCATCTCTAGCAGTATGGCTTCCATTGTGTTAAGGTTGCCTAGCATGATTTCCAACAATGGACTTACAGTGCATGAAAGATCATGGTTAAGCACTTCTGGAGGACTGAGAAAAGCCCTTAGAGATACCTCTTGGAATTCTCCCACAGCTACATGGCCTTGGGGCACATGAATAGTGATATCTGACTCGGGTAACTGTACTGACCCTCCTTGGTGGTTTAATTTACAAACTATCATAGTTTCTGCAACTTGGGTTTGGGCCCATCCAGGACTCTGATTAATTGTATTCAATTCCAGGCAGGAGCGGGCCAGCTGGCGTTGACTTAACCAGGCCATTTTATAAGCCTCTCGATCATTCTGAAGCCATTCTAAATCTTGTTCAAGGATCTGGCCAGAGTTATGTATATTCTGATGGGCATGTGCTGTGTAATCTAAAATGTCCAAAAGTTCTGAAACACTTTTTGATCTTCCAGATTTATTTGAGGAAGACTGCCTAAGCAATTGATGCACATCAAGTTCATCACCAGAGGAATCGAAAGAATTTCCAGTTTCTACTTCTCTAAAAAAAATAAAAGGATCTTCTTTCAAGATGGAAATATTCTCTCTCTTCTGGTTATTTCTCAGCTGAGTTATGTCATCCAAAAATGGGTTAGAAGCAGACACTTCATTCCAGAATGGATTTGTAGCTGTGGAAGCATTATAGACATGAAGTGTGGAAGCACTGGGTCCACTGGGAAGCAAACCTGGGTCTGGACATTCTTGTTATTGAAACAAACAAACAACAAAAAAGAAACAAAGAAAGAAAGATTAAGTAGCATTCTGAGATATAACCAAGGTGAATTTTTATTATAGCTTAAAAATTAGAGACTTTTTATTTTGCTCTTTGATTTCCATCTAAGAGCAACTATAATATTAATGTTAAATTTGGTCAAATTTTCATGCTGTGAGAAAAGGGAAATTAAATTGTTCTACCAGTTTATTTATGTAATGTTATTTTACCTAAAGACATCACGATTTATAAACAAATAAATGTTTAAAAGTTTAGATAATAATCCATTTAGCACATTTCCTTCAAAATGACCCAGACTACATCCACTTTGCCTTATTGTTTTATGTTTCATTTTCACACAAAAACCCTCAGAATTCAATTATTCATACTTTTCTAAACATGAAATAGTTTGTCTCATTATCTCCAGATTGTTGATTTAATGTTTCTATTTTCTGATAATATTCAATATGTGAAAAATATCAAATACAAGTTAATAGCTAAAATATCTTTTGAGAAACGTCAAATTAGTAATTCATTTCTTAGATTATCTTTTGATAACCCTGAATTGACAAATTTTAATGTTTTTCTTATGAGATTTTTTCAAGATGTTTTTTCATGAAAAAAATAAACATTTCATGAGAATGAATATTGAAAGATAGACCATTAGATTTACTACTTGAAGATTTACCACTGAGATTTTTCCAGTTTAAAATAACAAAGAGCAGGGTTACCACCACAAAAATGAAAACTGGGTATTACTTTAGAAAGTATTTTAAGAATCAATAACACATTAAAATATTTACATATCAACCATAAGGAATTTCCACATATTTCACAAATATACTGAAGTCATCCTTTTTTATGTTTATAGCAACTCATACTTGCTCATTTCTCAATAAATATTGGTAATGGTTCTGGAGACTTTGTGAAACTAGTACTGCCTTACAGAAAATGAAAGCCAAAACAGCCAGCCAAAATAGCAAAATGAATTCAAGTAAACTGTCAGAATTTTTGTTTAATATATAGAGTCATAACTTGATTCAAATGAGTTTTAAGCATTATATATTAAAAATTAGAAGATGCATTTTGAAAAATAAAAGTTGCATTTCTCTTATTTTCATATGCTTCTTTAATCTGGTTTCATCTTTTAAAATTTACTTTTCCTGAGGATTAATTCAAGTATTTCATGCTTCATGAAGACTTAGACCACTCCAACCTCCAGAGATCTCTTTAACCCCCAAACTCAATATATTTACTGCATGTACCACTCATTTAATAATGAGATTTTGCCTCCTTATAATATTTATTATAATATATATCATTAATGATAGTGTATTTCTATGACAACACTGTGGTTTTATGATTCTCTTGATCTGTAGCACTTTTCAGAGGTAGCCTTCTGAAAGTTATTGGTGGTAGATGAAAAAATTACCAGTTTAAATTCCTGTACCTGTAATATTGCAATATTTTGAGGATTTCCGGGCTTCCATGTCAAACAAATTTCTTTCAGACTTACTTCGTGAAATTCCTCCTGACCAAAACTGGGCTCTTTCACAGGTTAACATTTTTCTACCTACAAAGTAATATATATACTTATATTCCTTGTAAACATATACATACAGGTTGACAGAGAAGCCAAACTCAAAGTAGTCCACATATTTAAGTAGGAAACTGCATATAAAAATACTCTACATAGGGTCTCTACTTCTGGTAGGATGGTAGGCCAGATATCCTGAAATATGTACTTTCACTTCACTGAAAAATGTTCAGATCCAGTTTAATATCAACAAGAAAACCTAGAAACACTTTAGAGATTCTATAAAAGGTAAGAATGAAAATTCCAAGGATAACAAAAAAGAATAGTAGGACGAAAGTTCAATAAATAGACACTCCCTGTTTGGTGACTGGAAAACTAAAAATCACAAAGCTGGAAATTCTCCCCAAATTCTTCTATACATTCAATGGTAGCTCCAAGAAAAACCTCAACATGTTGTGTATATGCATGTGCTTCTTGAGCTACTTTAAAATTTATATAGAAGAGCAAAGGGCTAATATTCAAGGCAATCCTGAAGAACATGATGAAAGTGACATGTGCCACCAGATAGCAGCATTTACTAGAAATGCTAAGACAGTGTGAAACTGGAAAAGAAATAAACCAAGGACATGCAATACCCCTAGAAACAGACCCACCCTCATATGAAAACTTGTTATATGACAGAAGTGCCCCTGTAGAGCAGTGTGGAAATTATGGGTTATTCAGTAAATGTTGATGGTAGAATTATTTGCCCATGCTAAAAAAAATTACATTGATTATACACAAAAATCAATTCTAAGATATTTAAAAACTAAGAAGCAAAACTTTAAAACTTGACAATAGTCTAAGGATTATCTTAATGCTTTCTGAAAAGTAGAGAATTTCTTAAGAAAAGGTACAAACACCCAGAATGCAAAACCTTATTAAAAAATCTGAAATCCTATATATCAAAAGACATCATTTACAAAAAGTAAAAACACAAGCCAAAAATTGGGAGAAGATATTTTCATTACATAAGTGAAAAAGAATAAAGGATTGGATTCCAAAATATATCAAAGACTTCTACAAATCAATATATAAAATAGAAACAATATTGCAGAAATATTTGAAAATATCTGAACAAGCATTTTGTAAAAGCAAACACAAATGATCCATAAATATATTAAAATGTGCTCAATTTATTGGTAATCAGGGAAATGTTAATGAGGCCATATGAGATACAATTACCACCCATCAAATTTACAAAGGTTTTAAAATCTGGCAACACCAATTATTGACAAAGATGGGGAGCAAAGGGAAATTCTACACACTCCTAGTGGAAGTGTCAATAGGCAGTATCACTTAGAAATCAGTCTGGCATTATTTAGGAAAGATGCTTACAGCTCGTACCCAGAAATTCTAATCCCAGTTATTCGCTATAGTAGAGGTTGGCATATGTGCATCAGAAGTAATACACATATATTCATTACATTAACAATCAAAATATTCTTTGCCATATGAATGGATAAAAAAAGCTGTGGTGTTTTAATATAGTGGAGTACCATGCAACTATGAAAACAGATGCATTGCAACTAAAAGCATTAATATATACTAACTGTAAGTATTGCATTGCTGAGACTCAGCCTTCTTTATGTGTATATTTTCTGTTAGTCCCATAATAACACTGAAAAATAACTATTTAAAATTAGATTTTACAGAATACAAAAATAAATTGCAGCAATGGTACATACTAACCAACATAACTAACCTATGAGTCAAATAACTGGTGAGTGACTGACCAAACATGATTACTCATGCACATTATGGCTATTCCACACAGCCCATAACTCAGGATGCCCTATACCTTTCCTTAGACAAAAGGTTCCCAGCAGTACATTCTGAGACTATCCCACCTTCTAGTTCATGTTTTCCAGTCATGCTAACCTTGACTTTTTGTTCCCCTTCATTTGTTAACCACACCTCCTTCCCCTTTGACTTTTCTTCTTGTCAGACTCTCCTTTCACGTTCTGAAAATAATAAAGAACAAAAAAAGGAAGAACAAATTTAATGAAAGAGAGAAGAAACATTTTCCAAATATAATGAGTAAACAAATGTGAAAATTCTCTCATAAGGTAGCATACTCAAAAAAATCAAATGGTGCAATAGAAATTTTTTTCCTCTGAGAGATGAAACTATCTGAAAAGACTAGGTGAAAGGCTAAATTATGCAATTTGCAATTTGCCCTGAAAATTGCTTCCTGGCAGATCTACAGAATTCTGTGGTTGATTTTACCAAGTATAATGTCCAAAACTAAAGTCCTTAGCATACCACAGGTAACTAAAACTTAGAAATAGAAAAACTAAGTTCACATCCTTCAGCAAAATTAAACACATCAAATTAAAAATGAGAAAAATATGTTTAAATGAAAATATTTTTGAAAAAGACAAAGTACATTTTAAATGGAGAACCAATTTAGACAGAAATTTACCTAAATTCTTTAATTTCTTGTGGAAAAAAGAGAGCAGAAAGGAACAAAATATACCTTGGATCCCTTTGAAGCAAATAACTCTTGATATAAAAAAGTTATAACCCAGTGAAACACAGTTAGAGGTCCTCAACCACCCCAGAACCTAGAATTGGTGCCTTATGCAGCTATGACCCTAGAGAATCATAAAATTTCAAAACAAAGGCCCAGGGGTTCATTAGTTGGAATTCATTGTGGAGCAGCCCTCTTCCCTAGTCACCCAAGCAGATTTTTACTGTCCTTTAAGCCAGTGGTTCTAAACTTCAGTGGTACCAAAATCACGGAGGGTTTGATCAAACAGTTTGCTGGACCCACCCTATTTTTAATCTATAAAGTGTGGGGTTGAACGCACAAATTTGCTTTTCTAACAAAGTGGACAAGGGCTGTGATGCTGTGGTTCTGTAGGGCACATTCTGGAAACCACTGTGCTGAGTTCTTTCCCTGGCCAAACAGATTTCTCCCTATTCTCTGGTTGCTCCCACTATCTCCTGACAAATCCTCCTTCTCCCACACAGCGCGCGCGCGCGCACACACACACACACACACACACACGATGTCACTGGACTTCATCCTAAATCTTGATTTTTTTTCTTTCTACCAATCGAGGGAGAGGCAACACAGGGGAGAAGCCCTTGGAGGAAGGGGCGCGGCGCTGACGTGGGGAGGGCAGGGCTTGCTTACACAGGTGCAAACAGCAGGAGCCACATGCGTCAGTTCCTTGTGTTTTCTTCCAATCAAACTTAATACTCAATGGCAATGCTGTCCAAAATGGGAATTTATAAAACTTGGTCTAAGAAGCATGAGTCAGTGTTTGTTGGAAGCGATCAGTGGGAAAAGAGCAGTTTACTACCCACTTCACTGGGGACATGTTCTTGTCAGTGTGCATTTTATAATGCTCTTATTCTGATTCTACAGATTGCATTACTTTTTTCCTTAAAGAACCAATGAACAAAGATTTGCCCTTCATTTATTTTACTGTTTAAAATAGGCATTAAGCAACTGGAGAAATTTACCAACTGTAAAACTTAGCAAAAGACCCCAGAAAATTGGGGTAGGGTGGGGAGAGATGTTAACAAAAGAAGCACCAGGGAATCAATAACATTTAAAAAAATTATTCCCTTAAAATGTTCTCCTTTGAAGTGTTTATGGTAGTCACTATATAGTGAAAACTGTAATTTTTAGCCACCCAGTAGGTTCAAAGTATCTTCCAACTAGTCCTTGAACACCTCAGATGTCCTTTACATGCTTCTGTAATCGATACTATATTTAACTCTTGACCTGTGTGGCATTAGAAACACTATAGGTGACAGTAATTGCTAAGAGCAGTTGTTGGACCAGTGAATTTATTCACCCAATCAAAGGCCAAACCCACCCAAATAACTTTGCATTCCCTTGTGATTATAACCAGTATGAAAGGCCGGAGTGACTCACAGAAGAGCCATAAGCTGCTGATGATGTTGACTTAGTGTGATTTTACTGGATGTCACCATTGCATATGTAGCCTTTCGGGATGTTACCCACAGGGCACCTGCTGATCTGGAAGTATGTACACCCTACCACCAGTTATTAAATAGTTTGGGTGCTACCTCTGGTCATTGTGACCAAAGATTTAAAAGACCTGACAGGGGAAAATGTCTGCTGGCATTTTCCTCAAGGAAAATGGCTTTACAAGATTTATCGGAACAGGCAGCAGGACCCTAGCATAGTGAGCAGTATTAGTAACACACAATGATGCCTCCAATCATGGTAACTCAAACCATTCCATGAATACATCCTCTTATTAATATCACCATGTTAAGATGTTTATCAGTTCCTTTATATCTTACTACTTACCATCACTGGAAGAACTGAAGTTCAGGAAAATTATAATAATTGTGCAGGGTAACATCAGATTAGTGGGCACAGATTAGGAACAGAGAACCAGTAGATCGGAAACTGTTTTCATTTCAGCTGAATAATGTAGTCAAGCAATCTTCCCAGAAACCTCAGTCTGGAAGGGAAAGTGTAAAGGGATCTAAACAGGTATTCAAAAGGAATATTTCAGGCCTATAAAATAATAATAAAAATTAACCAACTTAAAAGCTATTATTTATTGAGAGCTTGCTATATATTCCTGGTACCAAGCATGGATTTTTCTCATTTATAAATTGCAACTACTCTAGAAAGTTGATACTATCATTATTCGCATTTTAAAGGTAGGAAAGTAGATACAGAGTTTATTTTCCAGTGACTACAAAGATACTAAGCAGGAGAGCTAATGTTTGAATTTAGGGATACTGGACTCTAATGAACAAGCTTTGACCTCCACACTATGCTTCCTACCCATGGACTTTCCCTTCCAGAAGAACTGAGATTTGAGACTATGCCCTGGACTTGTTGCTGCAGAGCAGCAACAAGCTTTAATCTTGATACCAGGAGATCTTCACCAAGTTCACAGCAGGAATCACATCATGACCCCGTGACCTGTGCAGTCACACAGAACCTCACTCTCACGAGGGCCTCATGCTCAGTGTAATGCTCTGCTGTGGCCATCTTGAAATACTTAATGTTTTGAGCAAGGGGTCCCATATTTTCATTTTGCACTGTGCACTGTGAATTATATAGCTGTTGCCTGGGATTGGCAATCTCTAGCCTTCAGACCAAAAGAAATGCCTTCAATTATAAGGGACCATAAAGAAAGGAGAAAAATATTTTAGATAAAGAATGTTCATTTTACAAATGATAAAGATGAGCAGCAAGAGGTTAAATGAGTCACCCAAAGTAGCAGGTTCATCACTAGCAGGTTTACAAATCAAACTGTCATCTCCTGATTTGAACTCTTAAGAAGGAGCATATGAGAAGAGTTCTAACCATTCCATGAATTCTGTAAGAGTAAAAAAAGTGAGATCCTTTTGAATTCTGATGCTATATAATGCCAAAAGTAATAGCTTAGTTTTAAGACCTTGAAGCAAAAATTACATGAAGTTTAAATCAATGAATGTGAAACACAGTGGTTCTCAGATTCAAGCTTCATTAGCATCATGTGTCCTACCAGACAAGAATCCTTCAGATACGACATTTGGCTAAGGCATGAGAAAAGCACATACACTGGCAAGGTTGGACCTACTGAGTCCTGACTACCTCATTCTTGTATCATCTTGCATTTCATCTCACAGAGCAGAATGACAACCAACATTCAAAAAATGGGCAAAGAATCTTTTGAAAATTCAGAGAATATTCCATGGAGATAGAGTTTAAGAAAGTATTACAGATTTCTCATAAATACCCATTGTAAATCAGCAACCATTTAATATTGACCTAAAATATATAATGATCAACAGATTTATTTTTAAATAGAAGCCCTTTCAGTATGTCCATTTTAAAAAGTTATTTGTATGCACGTGTGCTCCCATATGAATGCATAACCCCCCCACACACACATACACACACTTTCTTGGTTTAAAACAAATTTGAGAACCCTTATAAATCACATAATGCATTTAAACAACATGAAATCATAAATTATTCTCAGTTAAGAAGTCTAAAAAAGAAAGCAAAACAAGTAAGTGAATAAATCAGGGTTACACTTTCAGGAAGTTGGTAGGAATATCAAAATAAATAATTTCACAAACATCGTGCTGTAGCTATAGACCACAAATTTGGCTCTCCACGTTTTCAGAGACCACAATCATTACCAATTACAAGCTCCGCAGTGACCATATGATACAAATAAACCACTTTGCAGAAGTGTCAACATGGAGTGACACTCACCCTGCCCTTTACCATACGTCCAACAGCGAGTCTCTTTCTTGGGACTCTGTCTTCATGCGTGCTGAAGGCATCTCACCCAAGGACACTTGTGTTAAATCAGAGGGAGAGCAGTGGGTCCCGCTGAGCAGCTATCTGTTTCCCTGCCCTAATACAGGAACACCTGTTAGATTACGAAAGTACAGCATAGATTATCTGGTCTGCTAAAGCTGATCGTATTTATTTTCTCTCAGCTGAGTTTCTGGTTCCACTTTTCAATCCTCATGGACTTACATGTTCTGGTTCTTGAAAAGGACCCAAATAATTTATCTTGAAGACACAAATAATCAGCTAAACAAAAGATGAGAGCCATATTATTATTTTTTTGTTATCATTAATGAAGAACATTATATTTACTAGGGTCTCCCCATCACCAAGTCTCCCCCCTACAAACCACATTACAGTCACTGTCCATCAGCGTAGTAAGATGTTGTAGAATCACTACTTCTCTTCTCTGTGTTCCACAGCCCACCCCATGCCCCCACCACATTATACATGCTAGTTGTAATGCCCCCTTTCTTTTTCCCTGCCCTTATCCCTCCCTTCTCACCCATCCTCCCCAGTCACTTTCCCTTTGGTAACTGTTAGTCCATTCTTGGGTTCTGTGATTCTGCTGCTGTTTTGTTCCTTCAGTTTTTCTTTGTTCTTATACTCCACAGATGAGTGAAATCATTTGGTATTTGTCTTTCTCCACCTGGCTTATTTCACTGAGCATAATGCCCTCTAGCTCCATCCATGTTATTGCAAATTGTAGGATTTGTTTTCTTCTTAAGGCTGAATAATATTCCATTGTGTGTATGTACCACATCTTCTTTATCCATTCATCTACTGATGAACACTTAGGTTGCTTCCATTTATTGGCTATTGTAAATAGTGCTGCGATAAACATAGGGGTGGATATGTCTTTTTCAAACTGGGCTGCTGCATTCTTAGGGTAAATTCCTAGAAGTGGAATTCCTGGGTCAAATGGTATGTCTATTTTGAGCTTTTTGAGGAACCTCCATACTGCTTTCCACAATGGTTGAAATAATTTACATTCCCACCAGCAGTGTAGGGGGGTTCCCCTTTCTCCACAACCTCGCCAACATTTGTTGTTGTTTGTCTTTTGGATGGTAGCTATCCTTACTGGTGTGAGGTGATATCTCATTGTGGTTTTAACTTGCATTTCCTTGATAACTAGCGATGTGGAGCATCTTTTCATGTGTTTGTTGGCCATCTGAATTTCATCTTTGGAGAAGTATCTGCTCAGCTCCTCTGACCATTTTTTAATTGGATTATTTGCTTTTTGTTTGTTGAGGTGCGTGAGCTCTTTATATATTTTGGATGTCAGGCCTTTATTGGATCTGTCATTTACAAATATATTCTCCCATACTGTAGGATACCTTTTTGTTCTATTGATGGTGTCCTTTGCTGTACAGAAGCTTTTTAGCTTGATATAGTCCCACGTATTCATTTTTGCTTTTGTTTCCCTTGCCTGAGGAGAAACATTCATGAAGAAGTCACTCATGTTCATGTCTAAAAGATTTTTGCCTATGTTTTTTTCTAAGAGTTTTATGGTTTTATGACTTACATTCAGGTCTTTGATCCATTTTGAATTTACTTTTGTGTATGGGGTTAGACAATGATCCAGTTTCATTCTCTTACATATAGCTGTCCAGTTTTTCCAGCACCATCTGTTGAAGAGACTGTCATTTCCCCATTGTATGTCCATGGCTCTTAATCATATATTAATTGACCATATATGTTTGGGTTAATGTCTGGAGGCTCTATTCTGTTCCACTGGTCTGTGGCTCTGTTCTTCTGCCAGTACCAAATTGTCTTGATTACTGTGGCTTTGTAGTAGAGCTTAATGTTGGGGAGTGATATACCCCCCCACTTTATTCTTCCTTCTCAGGATTGTTTTGGCTATTCGGGGTCTTTGGTGTTTCCATATGAATTTTTGAACTATTTGTTCCAGTTCGTTGAGGAATGTTGTTGGTAATTTGATAGGCATTGCATCAAATCTGTATATTGCTTTGGGCAGGATGGCCATTTTGACGATATTAATTCTTCCTAGCCATGAGCATGGGATGAGTTTCATTTGTTAGTGTCCTCTTTAATTTCTCTTAAGAGTGTC